CCGGGTCGCGCTCCCCGAGCTCAACTGGGACAAACTGGAGTGGGACAAACTGGAGCTGATCGTGGAGCGACTGCCGCAGCCCCCTTACGAGCGGAGCCCCACGGCTTGGGCCTGGCCGCTGGTGCTTGGCCTCCTCACCGGCTTCGTGGGGGCGCTGGGCACCGGGGTGCTGATCATTGTGTTCACACTGTGGATCACAGGTGGCGATGGCGAAGGCGCGCCAGCCTGGCTGCCCCAGCCTGCCGGCCACTGCCGAGGCACAAGGCCTGTGGGACACATAGCCATTTCTTGACCAAGAGCATGTGGGCCCTGCATCGCCTGGGCCTGGGCCCCAGAGCAGCCACATCTTGCTTGGCTTGAGTGCTCCCAGACGTAAAATAGGAGCAGATGCTGGTGGGAGTGCTTGCTGCCTTGGACATAATATAAAATTTATTAACATAAAAGGAGGAAGCTGCTAGCTAGTTTGTTGGTCCTTTGGAAATGAGCATAGATTGTGGGGCTGGCAATGGGCAAGGGGCAGGATCTCCCAGTTTTTGTTACCTTTAGATCCTTCTTTTCTGTTAAGACCTATTGTTAGGTGCTGTCGAGTTGAGTATGACTCATAGTGATCCCATGAACAAAAGATCTGAACCCTGTTAAAATCTGAACCCTGTTAAGACCTACCTGCCATCTCTTGTGCCTATTGCATGCCTGGCTCTATGATGAACAATTATACACATTAAATAGAATCTTCAAAGCCCAAAAAGGGAGGTATTATCTCCATTACATATAGGCACTACTGTGGTCACTGCTTAGAGGCATAGTCAGGTTTTTAAGTCCAGGCCTGCTGGTCCTGAAAGTGTGAACTCCAGGAGTGATCCCCATTCAGTTTACTCTGAGGTCTTGTAGGGAGCAGCACTGCCAGGCGTGTTCCCATTTCCAGCGTCTTCCTCCATAGTACCCTCCCCTCTCAGGCAAGGTCTCCTCAGAGCCCCAAAACTTTCCCACCCCCCTCTGAGGGGTAGGGGCACTGTAAGCTCATTGAAGGAGCTGGCCCTAGAGGAGGCTGCCTGAAGACCCTGTTCTGCTTACCCTGGGGGGAAGCCAGAAGAGTGCCATGGGTGCCACTGTTAGGTTGTGAGGCTTTGGTGTGAGAGCAATCAATGACAGAATGACAGGCCAATCCAAGAGGAGAGTTGAAAACAAGATTGACGTAACCCTTTATTGCAAATTCTAAAGTAAAAAGATGTACAGTACAAAGTAAAATTGAAATTTCAGACTATAAACTTCCAACCCACTTATACATTCTCATTTTTCAAGCATTTCTGCCATTTCCGCATAAACGGAACAGGGAACAAGTCGAGGGGGTGAAGGAAGGAGATACAGCAAGGAAAAAAAGAAATAAAAGTATCTAGAATAATCACAAACCCCAGAAGCAAGTGAAAGGAAAGACATTTTCTCGACCTGCTGTCCTGGTGATGAGAAGCGGGGGTGGTTGGAGCAGTGCAGTTTAAAATGGCTCTCAAAATAGCAGCATTTATGGTACCATTTCATCTTCCTTAAGTCCAAATAATACTTTGCCCTTCCCTAGCGCCTTTGCCTCTGTATCTCAAAACACTTTACAAAACATTTAATTAAAGCCTCACAACACCCCTGTGAGGTAGGTCAGTATTATTATCCCCATTTTACAGATGGGGAAACTGAGGCACAGAGAGGTTAAGTGACTTGCCCAAGGCCACACAGCGAGCCAACGGTTGAGCTGGGGATGGAACACTGGAGTCCTGTCCCTTTTCTGGAACCAACCGCTGGACCACGCTCCCCTTTACCTATATACATTCTTCACACGCACACACACCACACGTGCACACCTGCCCACCCCACCCCACTTAGCCTCTATGTACAGCAAACAGAAGTGGGGGGTAGGGGCAGGAGGTACCTCAGGAGTGTCTGAACAAAGGAAATCTTGAGAGTCTTAGAAAGGGAATCCAGGAAAGCACAGAGCAGAACAACCTGACCCAAGCTCTAGTGCAAACCTTGGGACTCTCCAAACTCAGACTTCCTTTTCTCTCCTGATGTCCCCCCCTCCCCCAGCTGCCTGGTCGCAGCCAATTCTGTAGGGGGTGGGGGTACCTGAAAATGAACGTAGCTTTTTGCAAAACTTTGGGCAACATCTGAGAAAAGAAACAGGCATCATTATAGAAGATGCCCAGGACTCAAGTCACAAAGTCAAAACTCATGGCAATCTCACCTCCAGAGAGCCTGGAGGCTAGGGCTGTGGGGAGGAGGACAGGGACTGACCTACCAGCCATCTCTCTCCAGAGTGGAGCCACTGGAGCGGACTAGAGTGGGCACTTCAAGATCCTCCTGAGAGAGTGTTCCTGAACCAGGAGACATGGCCTAGAGAGGGATGTCCCCAAAGAGGGGTGAGAGGGAGAGGGAGGGAGAGGCGTGCCCCTCTCCCCTGCAAGGATGTGAACAAGACCAGCCCCTGTCTGCTGGTCTATTCTGTGGGAGTGATGGAGGGCAAGGCCCAGCATTAGCGAGCAGAATGGAGGCTGTGGGCATCATACATACCCTAGCTTTGGGGGCATTGGGGTATTTTTTTCTCTCCCTAAACACTCTGGTGAAGAAGGCAGTCCAGTCCAGCTGGGCTGGCTGACATAATCTTTGGGGGCTCCACTAAGTGGCTTGGTGATGGAGGGTTTTGGGGACCCTTGAGCACTGGCTCAGTAGGGGGAAGGAATGCCACATGCAATGGGGGAGTGAGACCTGGGACAGTTAGGGCCTTGCTTTTCTTGCCAATCCCTATTTCCCAGACAGAGGCCCTCTGACTTCACTCTCTTCCTTTCCCCTCCTATCCCCAAACGTGCTAAAGTCCCAATTCCCAGACCCCACCCAGAACTCAAGAATTAGGATAGTCAAGCAACAAACACACACCAAGACAGGCTTCCCTTGTACAGTAAAAAGGGTAATTTTTATTTTGTTTCCTTTTGGCTTATAGTAGTGATGTACTTTTTAATCACGTGTCATTTAGAGCAGCGTTGGCCTCCATGCATTCACTAATAAACTAATCTTCACTATTGGTCTTTTACAGATTTATGTTGGTTGCGGCGAAAAAGAAAAATTAATTCTGGGCTCAGTTCCCTCTGAGGATTTGTCTGGGGGTTTCGGTTAATATCCCCCCAGGAAACTCCGGATACTAAAAGTGTCACTTGGAAAGGAGAGGAGGTCACACTGATTTGGGAAGTTTGCTTGCTCTCACCCTCTACTCTAGCTCATGGGACTCTCCTCATCTTGAGCAACAGGAGATTAAGGAAAGACAAGGGGGCAAGTGTTTTCACACACGTCCCAGCAACCACATTATTAGCTGCTGCTCGGTGGCTTTGGCTCTGCATTTTAAATGAACAGCATCACATGTCTTTTTGCTTTGTGTCCTTTTTCAAAGGTGGATTGTGGAGTATAAATACTGCACCAAGGACCTGGCTACAAAAAATAAATATTTATATTATATTTATATATCTATATATATATGTGCAGTGATACTGTGGCTGCTGCTGCTTTTTTGATTGGCTTCGTTAGTATTTGGCAAAGCATTGCCACTCACCCATTCAAGTGAAGACGCACACAAACATCTTCATTGATTCTTTCAATTCAATGCCTGTTAACTGCGGGTGTAAACTGCTGGTGATGGTGTCATTTACTACCAAAGAAGTGTGGAAGAGGGTGGATGAGTGAGTGAACGAGCGGGTGGAGGGATAGTGGTGAAGGAGAAGTGGAGGGGAATAAAAAGTGAAACTTCAAATAGAGTTGGCGGAGGCTTCTTCTCTATGAAGCTGGCTCAGGGGTGTTAGATACCAGGGTTCATATGTTACTGAGGAGATAGCCTGCTGGGCTGGGATTGGGATCTGGGGGAGGGAAAGGGTCAGATCTCAGAAAAATTTCATTAAGATGCTCTAGTAGCTTCATGACATCACTAGCACGAGCACTTGATGTTCCAAGCAGGATCTTTACAGCTCTGCTGCCCATCTCAAGACCTAAGAACAACTATGAAGTTTGGCCAAATCTTGCATAGAAGTGGTTAGAATTTATTGCACATTGGAACAAAAATATATACTTTTTTTTTGTTATTTTGGAAAAGACCATTAGCAATAAAAAATTTTTTGTCTGTCTGTCTGGTTGGGGGGGATGTACATTGGCTGACGGCATCTAAGTTCTAAGAAGAAAGAAAAGTATAAAAAATAAAAATAAACATGACAATGGCATAAGCCAGAAGCCATTTCCTATTTAATAAGTTAATAATTTGTATTTACAAAAAGGCATGCCAATAAAATAAAATTATATATTACAGTATTTATAATTCTCTTAAAAAGAATAACCACACGTGTCAGCTTCTGTTTTGTGCTGTTTACAATGTAGCCTGTACATGTGACTATACATTCATACTAGCAGTTAGCAGGTCACCGAAAGAAATGCCTTCTCAATCAGGTATTGGGTGGAGTACGAAAATTCTACGGATGGTGCCACCAAAGCAGGCTTAAGAGAGCTGGACAGAGTTTGTAGGCGTCCAGCAACATAGAAAGCCCTGCTTCCGGACTTGCTGTGGTTTGTTCTATGCAAAACTAGTCAGGTGGACTGTGAAATTACATCCGAAGTGCTTCTACTGCAAGGCAGATTGGTGTGTCTGATTATGGGTTGTTATTCTCCCACCCCCTCTATTTTGGTTCCAGAAGGATTTAGAATTTTTATTTGGTTCACATGTTACGATCTCTCCTCATACTTTGTATAGACTTCCTGACACATTCAACTGCAGCATCTTGGCCTTGAAAATGAGTTAGCTGATGAGAAACCCCTGGACTGAAACGGTCTCTTCTAAAGTCGGAGATGGAATGGAACATATGACACTCCCCTCAAAGCCACCCTCCAATGACAATGGGCAGCTTGCTAAGCAGGTAGCGATACTGGCGGAAAGGGAGTGGGCCTGGGGAAGTTGGAAGATCCTGAAGAATTCCTGTTAGATCACTTGCTCATAAAAACCAGTGTAACAAAGAAACCAAGTGGTCTTGGTTCAGAGGCGGCTCCATTTCTACCTCAGGTCTGTTTCACCAGTGACTGTTTATTCTAGTAAGAAATGAAATAAGCCACAGCCGTAGCCCCAGTGCAGCTGCCCTCACCCAACTCTGTGGATCAGGGAAGCCCTGCTCGGTGGAAAAATGTGATGGAGGCAAGAAGAACCATGCAGTGCATGAGCTTGCGACAACCCGTGTGAAGAGAGAGGCCAGTTCAGAATATCCGAACCCCTCTTCCTATTGACCCAAGCCCAGAGAAAGCCACAAGGCAGAAGGACATGACAGTAATGAAGTGAGCACCCCTTGACCCCCAACGAAAGGTTATTTTAAGTTCCCCAAATTACCCCTTAGAGATAACATGCTACTTTGAATAGCACTTTTATCTCTACCCCAAATTGTCAGTTCTCCAGTATGAAGGCTAAACAATCATCATAAATATTGCAAGATACAAATGAACTATTTGTTTTGTTTTTAGCCCTAGGATTTGGTTTTACAGTGACATTATTAATACAAGCCATTCAGGACCAAAATCTCCCCATGTACAGGACACAGAGCAACATTAAATAGTTCATCTTTTAGAATATGCAACAATGGCTGTATGTTAGAGATGTCTGTTAAACATAGACACACAACGGATCCATCTGCTTGTTGGTTTGGGTTTGTTTGCGTTTTTGTAATCAGTAGTGGTCAATTGGTTGGTGATGTTTCCCTACCCAGAAGATGTGTAAAAGACTTTGAAGAATTCGTAAAGAATTGCAGCGAGTATGGAACTCTTACCATTTTCTCCAAAGACAGTGAACGGTGCAGGGCTGGGTCCTGTCCAAAGGCTGACCCAGTGCAGGGGACAGGATTACTAGTGTCCTGTGGTGTATGGTTCTCATGCATGACTTCTGATCACAGCATGCCATCATGCAAATCATTTCTACGCATTGAACGAGCACAATGTTTGGAATTGGCCTGAGCAAGTCCTCCTCAGCCTGAATAAACCTGATTGTTTTCCCCCACCCATCTCCAAACCATGTGAAGCCCATGTGGGGAAGATGTGGCTTATATCAAAGAAACTGACAATTAAATGACATGGGCTAAATGTGAGAGTGTGTTGTGTGTGTGTGTTGTGTATTTTCTTTTTCTGCTTAGCTTAACTTAATGTAAGAATGCAAATATAGTTTGCATGAACAAACAAACTTTTAAAGTGATGCTTTCTGCTTCTGAGAATCAACAAAATGGAAAAAAAAAATCCGTTAGGCTGCAAGGGAAATCTGTTGGTCCCGGCAGCCTCTCCTCTGTTTTTGTATCCTGTAAGGTTTGTCCTAAGTTGCATTGACTGATGTGGAACATGCAGTAACCACCTGCCCAAGCATTAGAAAAATCTGTGTGTCCAGGGAGCAGGGTCCTTTGCCCGTGGCAGGTCACTGCTCAAGATGCAACCGTGTTACATGGTAAGCAGACTACGTTTGGTATAGATCGTCAGGTTAAAGTGTCTCCACAGCTGTTCTGCACTGATAATATTCAGGAAGTTTGTAAACAATCTTTCACTTGCAAGTTTTAAATCTGTACAAGAGTGAATTTTTGCACTCCTCTAACACTTGGATTCTCTGACCTCTTTTTGTCTTTTGGCTCTTTCCCTTCTTCCTTCCTCTGCCCGCTGCTGTTTCTCCTTTTCGGGTTTAGTTACACTGTCATAGGATGGGAGGGAGGCTGTGGACGGGGTGCTCTCTTTTTTCTCCCGGTGCGTGCCTCCGTTCTCCAGCTTATTGGAAGTGGTCTTTTTGCAAATGAAGCTTCTCCTGGCTAAATGTCCCCTGTAGGCGCGCTGCAGTACCACTGCAGAGACCTCCTCCTGCTTGCGACGAAGTGTGGTTGTGATTGGCTCGTAAGACACTTTGGAAGGATTGGATGCCACAAACCGCTCCTCCATCTGCTGCCGGAGGATGTCCAACTCCCCACTGTCTCCCAGGACCCGCTTGGTGAAGGCAAAAAGGATGTCCAAGCAGTGGATACGATCCCCACTCACCATGGGCAGATCCATGGCAATGAGCTCGATGGTGTTGGGCTTGGGCACGCGCAGAGGGTGCTCCAGGGCATCTGCGAAGTCTGCCAGCTTACAGTACTCAATGAATTGGGTGGCATCGGGGTCAAACTTCTCCCAGATCTCATAAAAGGTCTCAAAGTCATCCTCACTCAGCGGGTCTGCGCTCTCCTCCGTGGCGACGCTGAAGTTCTCCAGGATGATGGCGATGTACATGTTCACAACAATCAGGAAGGAGATGATGATGTAACTCACGAAGAAGAAGATGCCCACGGAGGGGTTCCCGCAGTCCCCCTTGAAGCCGCTCCCGGGGTGCTCCTTATCCAGGCTGCAGTCAGGGGGGCGGTTCAGGATGGGCAGCAGCAGGCCGTCCCAGCCAGCTGAGGTGGTGATCTGAAACAGGCAGATCATGCTGTTGCCAAATGTCTCGAAGTTGAACATGTCATCAATGCCAGCCTCGTGCTTCACATACGCGAAGTTGGACATCCCAAAAATGGAGAAGATGAACATGACCAGGAAGAGCAGAAGGCCGATGTTGAACAGTGCAGGCAAGGACATCATTAAGGCAAAGAGCAGGGTACGAATCCCCTTGGCACCTTTGATCAGACGCAAGATGCGCCCAATACGGGCCAATCGGATGACTCGAAACAGGGTTGGGGAGACAAAGTATTTCTCAATTATATCAGCCAGGAACATTCCTAAAAACAACAGAAGAAGGTAAGTCACCAAGATTGAAGATCTCTTGTCTCTTCACTTATTTTACCTGGTACCACGGATTTCTGACGTTTAAAGGGTTTTATGGAATGAGTATCTTACTATTCAATCTGAGCTCTCATAATAAAGAAAATTCATTGTTTCAAACACATAGAAAAGCAGAGACAAGACCACCAGATGCTCTGCTGGAGAAGGAGGGGCAATCTCCTCCTGTACCAGTCAGATCCGATTTGACAGTACACACACATAAAAGAATACTTCTTTTTAAAAAAGCAGGGACAAGAATAAAATAGACACCTGTGTGCCTCACACCTATATTTAACAGATGTTATGACAGAAGAAGAATCGATGTCTTTAAGTTGTGGTGCTGGAGAAGAGTCTTTAACATACATAACAGGGACCACCAAGAAAACAAATAGGTCTGTCTTGGAGATGGTGAAACCAAGTTTCTCTTTGGAGGCTAGGATTTTGAAGCTCCGTCTCATATACTTTAGGCACGTGGCCAGGAGGGACTGTCCTTGGAGAAGGACATCATGCTTGAAGGGGTGGAGGGACAGGACAGGAGAGGGAGACCCCAGATGAGATGGATGACACAGTAAGTAGGGCAATGGGGAAAGGTGTGTCAGAATCAGTGAGAATGGACCAGGACAGGGCCAGCTTCAGAGCTGCTGGACATAGGGTCACTATGAGTCTCAGATGACTTGATGCCACATAACAACAACAAAAACAACAACAACATTTTATCAGATTTGCTTCCCTTCTTCATCCTCAGAAGCAAACACAATCCTAAAGATAACATGTGTTTTTAGTGGCTATAGTTTTAAATCAATCAATCAATCAATCAAATATAGCATTGTACTGTATTTAAGGTATTTTTTTTAAAATTTTATTATTTTGTGTGTGTCTGTACCGTCAAATCAGATCTGACAGGTACAGGAGGAGATTGCCCCTCCTTTTCCGGCAGAGCATCTGGTGGATTTGAACCACATATCTCTGGGATTGCAGTACAGCTTCTTGCCACTAGGCCACCAGAGCTCCCCTGGTATTTTTCTTTTTATAGTTAAATGTAGATACAACATATTTGTGAGATCAATATTATCTTAGATTGCTTTTTTTAAATGGTGGTGTAGTATTTCTGAATTGGTTATAATTTATGTTACCCTATTTCTTTGTCTGTAAATGAATGAGCATATCTGCCTCCACATCTTTACTACCTTTCAGCCTTGTTAATTATGCTGCTATGGAAACCAACTTGCTCTCTGGAGGCAAGCATTTTGAAGCCCCATCTCACATAATTTGGGCATGTTGCAAAGAGGGACCAATCCTTGGAGAAGGACATCATGCTTTGGAAGGGTGGAGGGATAGCATAGGAGAGGAAGATCCTGGATAGGCTAGATTGATGTAATAACTGGGGAAATAGGTGCAGGTGTGTCAGAGACAGTGTGATTGGCTTAGGAGAGGACAGAGCTCTGAGCTATTGTACAGAGAGTCTCTATGAGCTGCAAGCAACCTGACAACACATAACAACAACAACATGGCAACCAATTTTAAAAGTATCTTCTTAGTGGTTCTGAAAAATCATCTTTGGTTTCTCATCACCCCATACTCTAACAGTCTAGCTCAGAAAACTTAAGAGCTGCCTCAAGAGTGGTTTTCAATTAAAAAGTTCTAAACTTTGTGTTTTAAGCGACAAATGAGAAAACAGTTGAGCAGATAAAAATGGCAAGGCATTAGTAGGGTATAACCCCAAATCCACACTAGTGAGCTGATTCTGATGCATAGCAACCCTGTAGGATGGATCAGGACTGCCCTACAGGCTTTCCAGAATGAAATCTTCAGAGAAGTCGACTGCCTCACCTTCCTCCGGTGGATCGGCTAGGGGGCTCAAACTGCTTAAACCATAGAGTTGGAACCGACCCACAGCTGACCTGCTGGTGGGTTTTCAGAGGCAGTGAATCACATAGGAAGAGAGTGCCCATCTTTCTCCCGTGGAGCAGCTGGTGGATTTGAACTGCATACCTATGCACTGCAGCACAATTCCTCATCACTAAGTCAGTGTCAAGCTGCGCTGCAATCCCAAAAGCGCGCACTGTGGGAGAAGCATGGGCAGTGTCATCCCATGTGATTAACAGCCTTTAAAGCCCACCAGAGGGTGGCAATGGGTCGGTTCCATCTCAGTGGTAAACAACAATAAGAAGTCACTAGAGCTCCCTCCCTCCAGAGCGCTCAGTGTGACATAAAAGTAGAGTTTTGAATTATGCAAATCAGAGGGTCTTAAGTTTATATTTGGCCTGGGCTTGCCTTCATCTAGAACATCAATTAGAACATGCATCCCACTTAATTGTATAAAAAATCCACATTACCTCAAAGCATTTCACCCCTTTACTTCAGCAAGCCTGCCATTACAGGAAACTCACAATATCAACAAAAAATTCAAAGCAGATAAAAATTGTCAAGAAAGCATTAAAATAGGAAAGAATCCCAACTTTCAAATATAAATAAGATAGAGCATACTTAGAGAGCAGAACAGATGGTCTTTGAGGTCTCTTTTGGGATAGGATCCCATGGGTGTTTGAGTTTTCAAGATTTCCACTTCAGTCAGGTCTCAATAGGACTTCTCTGCTACCTTCCTTTTACTTTTCAATTAAGTCATAACCAGTGACCTAAGAAGTCAGGCAATACATTCTATATATGAGTTATTGGGATGATGTTGGCTTGACACCTTCCACCTTTATCAGAAGTCATGTTTGATATCAAGAATGGGTATGTTAGTCCTACTTCATTCTTTCCTCTGCGTGAAGGGAACTGTACTTGACACTGTGTTTTCTGTGCAAAGCTTTGGGACTTCTAGTTGGTGACACATCTGGCAGTGGTGGGGCTGGAGTGGAGAGAAGTGATGGCATAGTGGTAGGAATCATCTAACCTTTAATGGGTAGAAATAAAGGAGCTCTTGACATCGGTGTTGTCCAGCAAGGTGTGCTGAGATGGTAAACCCAGCATGATTCAGGCAACATCCAGGCCAGAATCAGACATTCTTAAGGGCCTTTCTTAGGAACCTTAGAAGGGTGACCAGCATATGAGAGATCGTTCTAACCAAGGCAAAGAAGAACATGTATTAAACAAGTTTGGAAGATGCAGGGAAGTTTCAGAAGAGAAAAATGGATATGACACATTTGATAAACCCTACATAAATTTAATTCCCTGGTTAGTCATCAGATCCAGCTTTCTCCCATGGCACATATCCAGACCACGATCCCAGCATTGAGTGGAATTACTCACTGACCTGCCAACCACTCCGTTACCCAAAAGAACAGTCTGATTTCTGTAAAGGTGGGATACAGATACCCAGGTTCTGTGGGATTGGTGGTCCCGCACCATGTACATGACTACATGGATACCCGGGTTCTATGGGGTTGGTGGCCCTGCACCGTGTACATGGATGCATGGATACCTGGTTTCTATGGGGTTGGTGGCCC